TGGAAAGTCCTAAGGCTGAACAAGTTCAAAATCATGGAACCTTGGAAGATCAAATTGAAAATAGAGAACAGGAAAGTGCAGTTGCAATGACAAGCCCTGAAAAGATTGACACAAGGGAAATAACAGAAAATGAAGTAGCTAGAAAGGAAGGTAAAATTGAAGATTCACTGGACAAGAAGTTGGAAGAATCCTGTAAAGTTCCAGAGTCAGAAAATGTGAGACAAGATGTACCTAGACCAGTGTCTGTAAATGAGCTTCATTCATCAACTGCTGATGACAAAACTGTTCAAGATCAAGAAATCACACACACAAGCAATGAAAAGGAAACTGTGATTCAGAAGGAGGACGAAAATGATGCAAGGAACTTTAATGCTTCTCCTTATTCACATTTAAGAAATCAGATAGAATCAATAACTGAAGAAAGAAAAGCTGAAGAACTTCAAGAGACATCTGAAGTTGTGCAAAATAAGGATCAGTTGCAGGAAAGAGGAATTTCCCAGGAAGAAATGGAGCCACACCGTGTAAATTCTGACATGCAATTGTCACAGGCCCAAAATGAAGAAGTAGATGAGCAAGATGAGGCAAAAATTACACAGACGAATCAGAATGAGAGCCATGATATGGAAGTATCATTGGGGTTGTTAGGTCAAAAGTTTATACATGAAATGAAAGAGAAAATCAGAGACATGGAGATGATCGCTTCTGGAGGTGAAACCAACGAGGCAGAAGCAATAATGACAGATGAGGCAGACGCCAGAATGAATGTGGATGAGGAACAAAAGCGAATGGAGGAACATAATGAATTTAATGAAATGAAGCAAGAGAAGCAAACCTTTGAAGATAATATGCAGATTGATACCTGTCATGGCACTTTAACCAAGCATAGTCCAGATAATGTCCTGGAGGATGATAAGTGCCAAGAAAAATTTGAAATTTCCAACAATGAGATCCCCGAGAAAATAATCATGTCTAAAATAGGTGTTTCCATTGAAGAAGCAGCTGGTGAACCACCAGAGAAAACACAAGTACCACAGGAAGAGGGTGAAGAAGTTGTAACAGCTGAGGAAACAATAGCCAAAATAATCACTGAAGATCCGAGCAGCATACCACATTGTGAAGATGAAAAGGTGAAAATATCATTATGCAATACATAATTCTCATCATTCATATTAAACATATGAAAGCAAATCATGAAATACACACGAAATACAAGCAAGAAAAAAAATAGAAAGGCAATAAATAAGAGAAAGATCCCCATTATAATGCTACTGCTAGTGTTTCTGTTGTATCATAACTTCTAGTTTATGTCAAAAGACTCAAAACTGACCCATGTGATTCAGAAAGAAACATATATCTAGTAACTAGCCTGTCCAGGGTTTATATACAGAAGAATGATATGAGAAAAATGGACACCGATCAACAATTTTGGTCACCTATTAAGATATATCACATATACAAATACATAATGATGAACGCACATCATTTACACAAATATCAGCATTATATAATGAGCTTGATTTGACAAATAGTAGCAATCTTTTATGAAAGAGTAGTATATGAACATCAGTAGAACCTCGAGTTCCCTACCTGGTCAACCTGTCAACATCTTATGATGGATCATGAATTTAGACACTCATGAGTTATGGGATAGTGTGTCCTGGTAATTTTGTTCTGTTCTCGTTCTTTTAGTCCAAACAGATGTGGATTAGGGATATCCACTTTCAGGCAGATATCATCACTGCACTATAGTTGGACAGAAAGTGTTCCACCATGGTTTCTGTCTGTTTTAAGCTCCAACATCACTGGAGTCACTTGTGTAATTGTTGCTTGTTTTCTAGATAAATTTATTTCTTCCTATCAGAAGAAAAAGAAATCTCTTATAGCCAGTTTTATACTGCTTATCTTTCATATGCTGATGGCCTTAGAGATGACATATTGTTGAATAACTACTAATAATACACAAAGATCACAACAACCTTAATTTATTTCTGTTGTTATAAGAGAAAACTGACATTGTGTCAATAATTCCAAAGTGGCCTTGGCTGAATCTTATGGTCATTGGTCATAATTTTCGAAATCTCAGATGACCTTAATAATGGCAGTATAGGAAATGACTAATGAAAAAATGATCATTAGCAACAATGATAAACTTTATATCAATAAGATAGTTGAACAACACAAATATGTTAAAGTGGCAAAGAATCATAATTTTCAATATTTCCATCTGACATACAAACCTACTAAACTATAGACACATAAGACAGGTTTATAACTGTAAAAAAGCAACATTTCAGAAGTTACACTTGGTTTCAGACTTAGTATTTGAGTAGAAAGAGTCCGAAAAAATAATCAGTAAACAGAAACCAGAAGGAAACGATGAAATGATGATCAGTATTTGAGTAGTATTTGATTTAGAACTCAGAAGGAAATGATGATCTCGTATATTATTATTACTATTATTATTATTACTACTACTACTACTACTACTATTTTGGTTCAATCTGATTCTTTATATCATAAACAGAAACGATGAGCAATGTCATTTATCTTTCAATGTTACACTTTAATCAGAGATTCTTGTAATTATCTGTTATCTCACTTTTAGCAGGTCCCTGAAATGGTCAATGCATATTACAACACTGAAACTTCACAGGAGGATAACCTGAAAAAGGATGCAAAAGATACTCCCACTAATGACACCCCAAACTTGCATAAGGTATATGATCCAGCAGTCAGAAAACTTGAAGAAACTCCAAGCTGTGTGGCTGAAGAACTAATTCAGCAAACAACTACCACCAAAGACAACGTAGATATACAGCTGTACAAGGAAAGTACGGAGCCTGAGAACCTTGCAGTCATCTCAAACTCAATGAACAAAGACCAAAATGGTAAATCTGAAGAGCTTAGGTTAGACAACTCAAGAAAAGATGATAAACCTCAGGTAAAAGTTAGCGCTTTTCAAATCCATTGTTTTCTAACTCTGCAGTTTGGTTAATAGTTAATACAAAGCTCAAGCATTTGACATTAATGAAACTGCAACTTTGAAGGACGAGGGAGGTATAGAGAAGACCGCAGGTGACATTCCTGTAACAGTTTGCAAGAAGCAGGAAGACTCCCATTCTGTTGCTGAAGAACAGAATAACCAAACTAAAGACTTTGACGACAACAAAAAAGATGATGTCAACCGGGAAAAGATGGAGTCTGAGAACCTTGAGATTGCACCAGATTTGGTACATGAGGAAAAGATGCAACAATCAGTGAATGAATTAGAAGCGGAAGGGACTCACAACTTCACAAATGATGTTAACCACAATGACATGGTTGGTTCTCATCTACTTCCAAACATTTATGATCTCCATAACAGAATTAATTTAGAAAATCATTCCCTTAACAATATAATTCGGATTCTTTAAACTTACATAATAGTCCTAACTATTAATTTGACCTTTTTGTCAGGCTTCACAAATCCATGTTGTGTTCCATGACAATGAAACTGCAAAAGCAAAGAATGATAGTATCTTAGACAATAAAATGGATGAAAATTTCAACAAGTATGAATTGGTCATGGACGACCTTATCGAGAAGAATGAACAGCCATTAAATTCAGACAGAAAAACTGATACTTTACAAGTATCCAGGGAAATACTTGAAGAAACTCTACATATTATAAATGAGAAGCATGAGGATGATAAACATGAAGTGCGCAGAAACATGGATCTGATAGACCAAGATCCTATATCTGAGACTGTTGAAGAGATATGCAGAATGACTTCAGGAGAACAAATTCATGAGGCAATTGCTGATAAAAATATTATGAATTTTGCCAACTCACAGGGCATAGTATACATGAACAAGGAAGTTGGCTCTTCATCTTTCACACAAAATCCTCTGGAAGAAAATACTTTGGGAGCAGCCATTCTAGAAGAATCTGATAAGAATATTTATGATGAAACATCAGTTGAGGTAGCTCTGGAAGATACACATGAAACAAAAGAAGCTAACAAGAGGATAGAAGGTTTTGTTTCCACAGATGAATTGGCATATAAGGTAAGAGGAGTTACCTTTGGTGAGGAGCAAAAGGAAGGTGAAGAGCTAAATAAAATAGATGAACTGAAAGGAGGAGAGGAAACTATTAAAGAAATTAGTAGTGCAATCTCTCCACCAAATACTATGGATGAATATTTAGATCATGTCCACCAGAATGACAAGAGTGAAAAAGAGCATGAGAATACCGAGGCTGAGGTCCTTGAGACAACCATCCTTGCAGAAATAAATTCTTCCACCAGAGAACTTGTTGAGGAAAAGGATCTCCCCAACCAGCAAGAGGAAAGCTTTGAAGAAAAGGCTAAAATATGGACACCCCAAGAAGAAGCACTAGTTGGAAGCAATATTGCAAAAGCAAGTGACAGTAGAGAGAATGAAGATGCAAAGGTATCAAAACATTGCACTTATTAGCCTTATATTCATATTTTGTTGTCTACTTTTGACTTTCCTTGTCATCCCTCTAAGATGAATACAGCTCTTTGAGCAACATGTCATTTCCTTTCATTCTAGTAGAATTTTAGAGGGTCTCATACTCAACTTTGAGTTAAACTTACCAACTAGTGAAATTGACTAGACTAAAAATTCAGTACTAGCTGACAACTAATTGAGTTGATCGGCAAACTTGATTAAACCTTTCATGAACTGGATCACCCTCTATAGTCAACACTAATGATGATCAACAGAATCAGAAATCAATGAGAGAATAAATCTGTAACTCTATCAGCTTTTATTTGTTAATTTTTCAATTCTCAATCCTCCAAAAAATATGACAAAGGTGTTAACAACAAGAGGACTCACGAGATTCTTAGTATCATTTGGAGAGAAGAGTTTTATCTCTTTTTTGTGGACCAAAAGGTGGACTAAATCTTCCACCAGTTTGCACTAAAAAGAAAATAAAAATAAGCTCATTTAAGATGACAAACTGAACTTATATCTCTCTCAATACATAGATATTTTTTCTGGCAGTCTCAAGTCTCTACCTCTTTGCCCTGCATGTCCAACATTTTGCCCAGCACATTGCAACCATATACAAATTACATGATAAGATATAATTTGATATTGGTATAGTCTTAGGCTTACTACTACCTTGTTATACATAAATTTAGCTCAAAAGTATTTACTTGATAGGCTTTGTTCCTTACAGTTCAGGTCATACTACTTAGCAACTCTTATAATCTAAAAACTCTAAACTACTGTTCTAGCTGCTTGAATAAGCATAAAATCCAGCTTATTCCAGTGCTATCAAGTGTTAAATAGCACCAAATCTTTATTGAAGAAGTCAAATTTTATGAACTTCACCTTTCTCTGTTAACAGAAAGATTGGCCATTAATGAGTATATTAAAATATGACTCCCACTGGACATTTTAGTAAAGTTATTTTCTTTTAAGCAGATATCTGATATCATCCATGTAAACATCAACAAGGAACCCACAAGAGACAATGACAAAGACATGAACAATAGCATTAGTGATGTACCTGACACAGACGACTTGGTTGGGCAATACATACAAGCTGTAAACAATAACCAAGAAATAGTCCTGGACTTCAAATGCAAGGAAAAGATTGAAGAAGCCAGTCACACAAAAGAGAGCACAGTAGCTGACAACAACATAGAAGAGGCATGCCAGAAACTTGAATCAATCTCAGAATTAGTAAACCAATCTAAGACTCCGGAGGGGACTAGTGAAGTGATGATGTCTCAGAACTCAAAAAATGATGCCAATCTTAGTGCTGACATAATTGATGCAAGTGAAATCACAGAAAACAAAGAATTTGCTAAAATGGAACAACCACAAGTCAGCCAAGGCAATGTTGACATATTGGCAACTACGGAGGCTTCAATTATCCAGGACCAGATGATTAGCAAATATGATGAAGGAATTTGCAGTATGCAACATAAAGAGGATAGCCTACAATCAGAAGATGGCATTCAAAACACTAACATGGATAAAGGTGAGGATGAGAAAGACACCATTGAAGTTTCACATGAAGAAGAGAACTTGGGAGGAGACTGCCACATTGCAGGATCCGTAAATACAAGAGATAACATACCTAGAGCAGTGTCTGTAGATGAATCTCATCCAACACCAACTGCAGAAGACAAAACCTTTCAGGATCAAGAAATCACAGACACAGAAGGCAAAAAGAAAAATGTGATTTGGACAGAGGATGAAAGTGAAGATAGCAACTTTGATGCTTTTTATGCACAGTTACCAAGGCAGGAAGACTCAGGAGTTGAAGAAGAAAATCATGAAAACCTTGAATTGACATTTGAACTGGAGAAAAATAAGGATCAGGACCAGGAAACTTTAGATGTTCTGGATGAAATGGGCCTTCATAGTGTAGAGTCTGACATGCAAATATTCAATACTCAAAAAGAGGAAGTAAATGACCAGGATGAAGCTGATGACAATCATATGCAAATGAATCAGACTGAGTGCCATGATGTGGAGGTATCATCTGAGGTGATAGTTCACGAGGTTGTTTTGGAAGATAAAACAGATGAGGCAGAAGCAAGAATGAACCTGGATGAGGAGAACAAAAAATACAATCAAGATAATGAACTAATACAGGGGAAGGAGGCTTCTGAAGACAATATGCAGGTTAATGCCTGTGATGGCGCTCCAATAAATCAAACTCTAAATGACACCCTGGAGATAGACAAATGCAAAGAAAATATTGAAATTTCCTCCATCGAGATCACAGAGAAAACAATCGAGTATGAAATATATGCTTCTATTGAAGAAGATGCTGCTGCTGCTGAAAAGGAACATTCAGTTAAATCAAAACTACCTCAAGAAGAGAGTGAAGCAGTTCTAACAACTGAGAAAGCAGTAGCCAGAATAAGCATTGAAGATCCAAGCAGCATACCAGATAATGAAGACGAAAAGGTGAAGAAAAATCATTAAACACAATTCTTATCATGCATATTATATAGAAGCAAGCAATTTATGAAATACACACAGTAAATAAAAGAAAAGAAATTGTTAAAAAAAATTCAATAAATTGCAGAAAATCCTCATTATCATGCAACTATTAACTCTAGTTTTTCAATCCTTATCCATGTAGTTCAGACAGAAATATTTGTGGCTTCTTGTGAGTAGTCTAGCCAGGGCTTGTTTACAGATTAATGTGAGAGAAATGGGCTTACAGTATGGCAAATCTTTTATCTGATTTTTACTTTTTTTGGTCAATGGGACCATCGTCTGGACCGGATAATCAATTTTGGGCAGATACCTTTTTTGCATTGTACTTGGATTGAAAATGTTCTCTAGAATTTGTCTGTTTTGAGATTCCACGTCCTAGAGTTATATTGTAGGCATTGATTTATATTGTAGAGTGATGCAAACATGATAATATGGCCAATAATGATGAAGATCCTATCTGTTTGTCTGATATACAAACTAATAAGCCATTGGTACCTAGGACAAATAGAGGTTCATAACTTGAAAAGAGATCTTAGAAGCTTTACTCAGACTTAATATCAGCATTTGAAGATAAAAAATCACAATACAATCAGTAAAATAGAAGGCTCCAGGATTTAAGAACTCAATGGAATGATGATCTCAGCATATGGTTTTCCTGATCAACCTAATTATTTCTATTATATACCCAAGAAAATGATCATAAACATAATAAATAACAAGTCCATGAATCTTCCAAAATTACATATTAATCAGAGCTTACTATGATTATCTGATATATCTTTTTTTTTGGAAGCAGAACCCTGAAATGCTCGATGCTTATAACACTGAAACTGCAAAAGAGGTTCACCTGAAAAAGAGTCTTTGGCTTAGTACTACCTTGTTATACATAAATTTAGCTCAAAATGCTTTACTTGATAGGCTTTATTCCTTACAGTTCAGGACATACTATTTAGCAACTCTTATAATCTAAAAACTCTAAGTCTGAACTACTGTTCTAACTGCTTGAATAAGCATAAAATCCAGCTTATTCCAGTGCTATCAAGTGTTAGATAGCACCGAATCTTTATTGAATAAGTCAAATATTATGAACTTCACCTTTCTCTGTTAACACAAAAATTGGCCATTAATGAGTATATTAAAATATGATTCCAACTGGACATTTTACTAAAGTTATTTTCTTTTAAGCAGGTATCTGATGTCATCCATATAAACAACGACAAGGAACCCACAAGAGACACTGACAAAGACAAGAACAATAGCATTAGTGATGAACCTGACACAGACGACTTGGTTGGGCAACACATACAAGCTGTAAATAATAACCAAGAAATAGTCCTGGACTTCGAATGCAAAGAACAGATTGAAGAAGCAAGTCACACAAAAGAGAGCACAGTAGCTGACAACAACATAGAAGACGCATGCCAGAAACTTGAATCAATCTCAGAATTAGTACACCAATCTAAGACTCCGGAGGGGACTAGTGAAGTGATGATGTCTCAGAACTCAAAAAATGATGCCAATCTTAGTGCTGACATAATTGATGCAAGTGAAATCACAGAAAACAAAGATTTTGCTAAAATGGAACAACCACAAGTCAGCCAAGGCAATGTTGACATATTGACAAATACGGAGGCTTCAATTATCCAGGACCAGATGATTAGCAAATATGATGAAGGAATTTGCAGTATGCAACAAAAAGAGGATAGCCTACCATCAGAAGATGGCATTCAAAACACTAACATGGATAAAGGTGAGGATGAGAAAGACACCATTGAAGTTTCACATGAAGAAGAGAACTTGGGAGGAGACTGCCACATTGCAGGATCCGTAAATACAAGAGATAACAGACCTAGAGCAGTGTCTGTAGATGAATCTCATCCAACACCAACTGCAGAAGACAAAACCTTTCAGGATCAAGAAATCACAGACACAGAAGACAAAAAGAAAAATGTGATTTGGACAGAGGATGAAAGTGAAGATAGCAACTTTGATGCTTTTTATGCACAGTTACCAAGGCAGGAAGACTCAGGAGTTGAAGAAGAAAATCATGAAAACCTTGAAGTGACATTTGAACTGGAGAAAAATAAGGATCAGGGCCAGGAAACTTTAGATGTTCTGGATGAAATGGGCCTTCATAGTGTAGAGTCTGACATGCAAATATTCAATACTCAAAACGAGGAAGTATATGACCAAGATGAAGCTGATGACAATCATATGCAAATGAATCAGACTGAGTGCCATGATGTGGAGGTATCATCTGAGGTGATAGTTCACGAGGTTGTTTTGGAAGATAAAACAGATGAGGCAGAAGCAAGAACGAACCTGGATGAGGAGAACCAAAAATACAATCAAGATAATGAACTAATACAGGGGAAGGAAGCTTCTGAAGACAATATACAGGTTAATGCCTGTGATGGCGCTCCAATAAATCAAACTCTAAATGACACCGTGGAGATAGACAAATGCAAAGAAAATATTGAAATTTCCTCCATTGAGATCACAGAGAAAACAATCGAGTATGAAATATATGCTTCTATTGAAGAAGATGCTGTTGCTGCTGAAAAGGAACATTCAGTTAAATCAAAACTACCTCAAGAAGAGAGTGAAGCAGTTCTAACAACTGAGAAAGCAGTAGCCAGAATAAGCATTGAAGATCCAAGCAGCATACCAGATAATGAAGACGAAAAGGTGAAGAAAAATCATTAAACACAATTCTTATCATGCATATTATATAGAAGCAAGCAATTTATGAAATACACACAGTAAATAAAAGAAAATAAATTGTTAGAAAACAATTCAATAAATTGCAGAAAATCATCGTTATCATGCAACTATTAACTCTAGTTTTTCAATCCTTATCCATTGAGTTCAGACAGAAATATCTGTGGCTTCTTGTGAGTAGTCTAGCCAGGGTTTGTTTACAGATTAATGTGAGAGAAATGAGCTCACAGTATGGCAAATCTTTTATCTGATTTTTACGTTTTTTGGTCAATGGGACCATGGTCTGGACTGGATAATCAATTTTGGGCAGATACCTTCTTTGCATTGTACTTGGACCGAAAATATTCTCCACAATTTTTGTCTGTTTTGAGATTCCACATCCTAGAGTTATATTGTAGGCATTGATTTATATTGTAGAGTGATACTAACATGATAATATGGCCAATAATGATGAAGCTCCAGTCTGTTTGTCTGATATACAAACTAATAAGCCACTGGAACCTAGGACAAATAGAGGTTCATAACTTGAAAAGAGATCTTAGAAGCTTTACTCAGACTTAATATCAGCATTTGAAGATAAAAAATCAAAATACAATAAGTAAAATAGAAGGCTCCAGGATTTAGAACTCAATGGAATGAAGATCTCAGCATATGGTTTTCCTGATCAACCTAATTATTTCTATTATATACCAAGAATATGATCATAAACATAATAAAATAACAATTCCATGAATCTTCCAAAATTACATATTAATCGGAGCTGACTATGACTATCTGATATATCTTTTTTTTCTGAAGCAGAACCCTGAAATACTCAATGCTTATGACACTGAAACTGCAAAAGAGGTTCACTTGAAAAAGAGTCTAGAGGATAATCCCACTAACAATGTCCCAATTCTGGAGAAAGTATATGATCCAGTGGTCAGAGAACCTGAAGGAACTCCATGTTGTGTGGCTGAAGAACTAGCTTATCAATCAACCACTACCAAGGACAATATGGACATACAAATGTACCAGGACACTACGATGGCTGAGAAGATTGCTATCATCTCAAATTCAATGAGTGAAAATCAGAATGGTAAATCAGAAGAGACTAGTTTTGACAATTCAAGTAAAGATGATAAACCTCAGGTAAAGTTGAGCTGTTTGTCAATTCTATGGTTTTTAAACTCTAGAATTTGGTTAGTTTGAAAAGCTTAAGCATCCGATTACTTTAAGCTAACATGTAAATTTCGAGTTCCATCCCAGTTTGATAATGAGAAATGTTATTGCAATTGCAACTATGAAGGATGAAGAAGGTTTGGAGAAGAACATTGGTGAAGTTCCTGAAACCTGGATCACAAATGATGAAATCCTCAACAATATGGTTGATTTCTTTTCGACTAGCACAAATTCCTTAAACTTGCATCCTAAGTCCTAACTCCTTGTTGGTTTGACTTCTTTTATCAGGCTTCTGAAATCCACGTTGTGAACAATGATCAAGAAACTGCAACTGCAATTCAAGAAGACTCCATCAGTTATGTTGCTAATGAACAGATTAACCAAACTACAGACACTGATGACAATAAAAAAGATGAAGCCTACAAGGAAAGGGTGGAATATGAAAAGATTGAGCTTACAACGGACATGGCACATGAGAACCAGATGCAACAATTAGAGACTGATGATAACCTCAACAATATGGTTGATTTCTTTTTCACTGGCACAGATTCCTTAAACTTGATCCAAGTCCTAACTCTTTATTAATTTGACCTCTTTTATCAGGAGGCTTCTGAAATCCATGATGCGAACAATGACCAAGAAACTGCAACAGCAAAGAATGACAATATCCTAGAAGATAAAATGAATGAAAATTACAGTAAGCATGAATTGATAATGGACTGCTTTATTGAGAAGAATGAACAAGCCTTAATCTCAGGCAACAATGCGGATACTTCACCAGTGCCCAGAAAAATGATTGAAGAAACTTTACAGATTACAAATGAGATGCATGAAGATAATAAAGATGAACTCTGCAAAGTCATGGAGCCAGTTGAACAAGATCCTATATCTGAGAATGGTGAAGAGATTTGCAGAACATTTTTGGT